TTGATATTTCAAGTGAAAATGTTCTAGTTGACTGGATCATCTGAAAAATTACCTCAAGTCTCCCTTCAGCTGGTGCACACACGGTCATGGTTGTAGGGATCTACTCTAATGCCATATGAAGAAACTGATGGCCCAGAAAGAATACCGAAGATTTAGTTGAGAATTTGGGGAAACACTGTAGGCTCTCCCCTCCAAATTATCATTATATTCTAAATCTTATATTAAGAATATATATATAATTTCACAAATACTTTACCACTGTCTACCTAAGACTCCAAAAATATTACTTGAAATTTTTTAGGTAATTAATTGTAGTACTTTGTTCACCATTAAAAATCTCTTCATTGTATTATAGTAGAGTAACTGAACAGCAATAATAACTTATGGTAAACAGTGTCTTGCTTCACAGCAAACACACACACACACTAATGACAGATTTGGTTGCACCCCGGTGTTCATTGTATATGCAATAAGATAGCAGTTGCATGTTAGCTGATGCCATTCACATAATCAACCAGCTAACAATACACTGCCAACCCATCACACACAGCAACCAGTGCACTTCATTAACAAGAAGAATTTATCCAGAAGCAAGTGGCAGGGTAGTCGTGGCTGCTGACTTGACCCAAAGCAGCCAGCTAACAATACACTGCCTACCTGATTCAGGTAATCGCCCAGTTTTATGGCCCATGAAGTCACTGAGGCTAAATTTGTAATATGAAACACAGTAGCAGAACTTTAATCTTAACAGTCACATTAAAGAAAATTTATAGGCAAAAGTTGTTACTTTAAAACTATATGGAATAAAATCAATATTTTCTTGAATCTAGCCAAAAACTTGAAAGTTAAAAAAAAAAAACTAAAAAAGAAAAGCTTTCAGAATACTTACACTCAGGTTTTCCAAATTAAAAGCTTGGATAATGAAGATATGTTATAATACAAATGAATTTAAAAATTACTTATCTATAGCATTTTAAATTACTTCTATTTACTAACCAAAAGATCAGTTGTATTAGGCAGTAAAACATCTAGAAGTCATGATAATACCTAAACTGAGCATGAGACAAAACTGTAACAATGTTTGGGGGAAAAAGTCAATATTAAAGTATTTAAGGAATTTAAGTACTTAAATGACATTAGTTTTCTCCCACTATAAATTTTATTAGTCATTGAGTTCTGAAAGTGCAGTTATGCTACGCATTCACTTTAGAGTGTCACCACTTGAATATAGAAAAATTTATAGAATATCTAGAAAAAAATTTATAAAAATGATGATGGATTTGAAACATATCTATAAGTAAAGGTTAAAGGATGGTGAACTATTCAGTCTAGAGAGAAGCATGGTAAATGATATTCATGAGACATTTAGAGCATATGAGGGCTGTTAGAAAAAAAATCATTTAAATTTTTTTATTTTTACATTTATTAGAAGAGAAACTAAAGACTTTTGGGCTTGTTCTTTCAAGGAGAAAAGGCACTACATTCGATCAACTTTTAAATGGCTAACGTAAAAGCCGCGGGTTATGCCACTTCTCCTCATTGTCCACAAGATGGCACCATCTCCGCTTCTTTGGGGAGCGTGCTTCCGAACGCGGCAGAGGGGAGCGCAACCAGCTACTGTCACAGTGAAATTCTAACAGCCAGCTAGCAACGCACTGCCTACCTGACACATCCAAGCTTTACCTTTGGCTGTTGAGGCAAAACCTAGAAAGCACCAGATAACAAATGAGTGCCATTGTTTGTCAGTGATCTTCAGTTTCTTAAAGAATTTTTTTTTAGTATGTAATCAGATCCTGTAGTGACAGAGACTGATTTTTTTTTTTAATTCTCATATTTTCAGACCAGCCCACACTTCCTACAAATACCTTCTCTAGCAAGAATGAATTTGTCCAAGATCCGCTTTAAGACAGTGAACGAGAACAAGCACCGGACACTCACCTTGGGGGAACCTTGGCTTCTCCTCTGCCTCATGTCTTCAGCGAGCACCCGCATGATACTCTCCTTTGAAAACACAGATAACATATTGAGAGAAACGATTTAGAAACGTGATGTCAGGTGTGGAGCTTCTCTAGATCCTCTGCTTGTCCAACTACCTTCACTTTTTTTTAAGCAACGGGGCATCTCCAGGATATAACTAAACCACACGACTCAAAATTAGGACCCATCTGTCTCAAGTTACAACTGTTAATAATAATAACAAGACCAGGGCGTGGCGTTTTGTGCCATCTCTTGATCCTAAACAGGTATCACAAGCGGTGTCTTCGGCAAGAAGCCCCTATACGGCGCTGGGCGAACAAGGCAAAGGGCGCGACTCACCCACAGCATCGCTCGCTCGGGGCGGACCCTGCGCGGGGCGGCGCGCTCCAGTTTCCACTCCATCTCCCGCGCGGACTTCGGCCTCTCCTCGACCGCCTCTGGTTTTCCTCCCAGGTCTGAGCCGTCAAACCCCTAGAGCCTCGTCCCCCAGGATCGTTGTATTTCACCACCCACCTCCCTTAGCCCCGCTCCTCCCACAGCTCCTGCAGCGTTCCCCAGGGTCCCATTTAAAAAGCTGGCGGGGCGGCACCGAGAGCGGGAATCCCCCTCGCCGGCTTCTCATTGGCCGGCGCCGCGGTGACGTCAGATCCCGGGAGGGCTTCCCCGCCTGCGCCTCCCTCCGGCTCCCGGGCGCCCGCACCCGGCCGCCGAGGCGCGCAGCGCAGCGCCAAGCTTTGCCGCGGGCAGTGGCGGGCCTGCGGCTGGGCCGGCGCCGAGGGCTGCGGTGGCGTCAGGAGGCGGAGGGATTGGCGGGCGAAGCAGCGGGTTCTGGGAGTTTGTGATCTTTCCATTTTCAGAAACAAAAATGTTTACTTATAACAGCCCTGATGCCTTTTCCTTAGCTCCCGCTGCCCTTTCTCCACCCCCACCCCGCCTTGGAGGGGTCGGAGGGCGCAGTAACTCCCTGGCCTCTGTCCGCTGGTAATGATCAGTCACCGTTTGTGTAAGCTACTCATTTTAGACGTGTTCCCCATCAACTCTTCCTCAATTTTAAACCGGCAAGAAAACGTGGCAAGATTTCTACGCTGATGAGAATCTGCATTGACAAATTTATTCAATAAGTTCTTCTCTGCTCTGTATCCATTGGGAAGTGGTCAGGTCCTCTCACCTGAGCTTCTGAGCTACGTTCCTAAACTGGAGGTTGGTGAGAGAGGCGAAAGGTAGTGAAAGAGCCAGTGACAGGCAGGACCTCAGAAGGAGTGACGAGCCAGCAAGACAACTGAGCAGACTGGGGACTCAGGGATAAAGGGGAGAGGATGATACTGAGGGTTGAGGGAGGGGTCTGGGGGGGTATGACAAGAAGCCAGATGGGCTGTGCAGCCTTAGCTGTCCATCTGAGCCGCCAAGAGAGGCAAGCTGCGCCATATGGCATGAGGGTAAACTGTGTCTGGGAAACCTGACAGTCTGGCAGTCTACTTTCCCTCCCTCTTCACCCCACCCCACCCCACTTGACATTGGATTGCATTTTGCTCTAGTGCAGTATGTGGGTTTCTGTATTTGGGGGGAAAGGGTTCATAGATATCAAATACTCAAAAGGATCAGTGATCAAAAAAAAAGCTAAAACGGACTCTCTTTCTTTCCTTCATACTGAAAGCAAGAAAAATTGGCATTAAGACTAAGACCTAATCTTAAGAGTTTTCCACATACAACGATAATCCTGCACAGGGTAACTTCACGTGAGACTTACCAAATGCTTGATAGTCAAATAACTCTGGGATCTCTAAGTTTCACTGACAAGAATTCTACTTTCTTTGCCATGCATTCAGAGGAGTACTCATTCCAACTTCCAGTAAATCCTTTCAGCAAATATTGAGACTAAATAAAGTGAACTATCTGTGGATGACAGTCAGATGCATTGTTAATCCAAATGATCAGCTTTGCAAATGCCAACTAAAACTAGCAATACGTCAGAAATAATATGAAAGACATTTTATCTTTGTTCTATTTTTAAATATAGTTTACATGGACTGCATTTTGTATTAACACAGAAGTAATAAAAATTCAATTAGTAAGGTGGTAAATCCACGTAAATTGGGATTTTTAGAATCCAAGCTCTTACAAATACTAAGAATAGTGAATAATTCATTTAGAATGTAGTTACCTATAAGTAATACATTTGTAAATTTCATTTTAGCCGCTAATTCCACAGCACAGCTTCCAAGTGCCTTTTCTTCCTAGTGTAAAGCAGAAAATTATTAGTAAAATATCTTCCTTTAAAAAGTTATTGTACTTTTAAATATTCAGATTAAAATTTAACATCAGAATGATGGAAATGGAAAATCACCAGCTGGCAAATACCACAGTAATAACTGTCATAGTCAAGAATCATGAATGCTAAAATTATTGTGCATATGATGAGGATATTTGCCCCCTGTGATTAAACAAAAAAAGTAAAATCACAACTTTTCATTGGACAAACCCAGAAGAAACCACCTTCACCACGTGATTATAAATATCATCACCATTATGAGATATATTGACATCATATGCCTCCTGACATGCTGCACTGGGAAGGACACATCACTTCTGTGGTCTTCTGGCCAAAAACACATAACCTGAATTCGATAATGAGAAAATACCAGACAAACCCAAATCGAAGGAAAATCCACAAAATAATTGGCCAGTACTCTTCAAAAGTGTCACAGTCACGAAAAAAGACTAAGAAATTGTCACAGATTAATAGAAACTGAGTGGACATGCCAACTGAATGTATTGTGAGGTTCCAGATTGAATCCTAGATCAGAAAAAATATAAAAGACATTGGTTGGATAATTGTGGGAATTTGAATAATACCTGTAGATTAGTTAATAGAGCAGTAATAATGCTAATATTCTAGTTATTATTGTACTGTGGTTACGTACAATGTTAACATTTGAGAAAGTTGGGTGAGGGGCATAATGGGATTCTTTGTACTATTTTTGAAACTTTTTCCTCTATCTGAAATTATTTCAAAATTAAAAAAATTTAATTTATCATCATGTGGTCATTCTAATAAAAACACTTTGGTACAAACTGTTTAGAGGCAGATAGCAATATAAACATATTATCTTAACTTTTATCACATACGGTTTAGGAACAATGTCTAATTCAAATGTTCTTGTGCCTGTGAGTAATTTACTATCTTAGAAATGTTTCCCCTCTGAGAATGGGTTTTGCCGGGAGGGTATGTGGCGTAGAGAAAGCTGTGGGGGAGCAAAGGCCAGTTGGAAGGATTTCAGGTCAGAAGGTGAGGGAGCTGAGGAGGAGCAGTGAGGAAGGGAGAAAGAGTACGGAAATGATTTCCTTGACTCTCAAATCTGTTGCTGCTCTGAGAATCTAAGCACGTGCCTACCAGTGGGAAGCAAGAGGATATCCAAACTTCTAAAATGCAGACTTTTTTCAGTTACATAATTACATTTTTGTTCTCAGTAACAGTAATGTTGAATATCTCAGAAATATGCAACGTACAAAGTAAACTCCCTTCAGGCGCTCCCCCAACCTCCTTCCTCCCCCGGAGCTTCGTCAGCCCTTTTCCCACGTATTTCCATACACACACGTGTAACTCGTCGTAGTTTGGCCCTGCGAATCTTCCCACATAAATGGGATCTCATTATACTTATCGTGTTGCAACTTGCTTTTTCTACTTCGCTGTATTCAATTGCTTTTCCAGCAATGCACACTGCAGAGCTTCCCATCCCCAACTCCAACAGCCGGTTGGCGCCCCTCCGGCCCGCGGCTCCTCCCGCCGGCTGCAGGCGGCTCCCGCGCCGCCCGCGCTGGCTCCGGCTGCGGCTGCGGCTCCCCGCGCCCGCTCGCGCCCCGGCTCCTGCGCGCCAGCGCCACCCGCCCTAGCGCGCGCCTACCGGACAAAAGGGACCGTTGGTGTTTTCTTCAACAGTCCCCGGGCACGTGCCCCCGCCGCGTGGGGTTGGGGGGGCGCCGCGCCGGCGGGGGGTTAATCCCGCTCCAGGCCGCGAGGGACGGGGCTAGACTGCATGGAGGGGAGAGGTTGGGGTGGCTACACTCTCGTGGAGCGAGGATGTCAGCCCTGAAGGGAAAAGAAAGGCAAGAATGATCCCGGACAAAAAACTCTCTGAGAGTGCTCCCCAGAGTCATAGAGCTCAGAATCGCGCGTGGATGGATGAACGAATCCCTTATAATCCAGACTATCAGTAATGCTCTAAAAACTTAACTTGCAAAGCTTCTAGCAATGTAAAAGCCTCAATCAGAAGAGTAGTCAATGAAGTAGCCCGTCACCTCTGCATACCTTATGGTTTCAATTCCAAATAGTTCCTGAATATGCATATTTTTCTATTACTGCCTGATTTCTAAGTACAGTACAGGGTCTGTCCTTTAAAAGTATTTCTCCATCCATACCCCAAGTAATGAAGATAGAGGGTTAGGTTTGCCCAGCTTTATAGTGTGGAAATCTTAAAACCACTTCACCTGCCACCACTTCCTTTAACGCCATTTTTCCTCTCTCTTTCTCCTTAGGTTAGTTCTTGCATGGGGTGGTGCCCAAATGAGGTAGTTCCCACAATTTTAAAGCTATGTAAGGAAAATATCAAACTGAAATTAGTACAAATCTGTATAAAACAATGGATGGAATTAGGTGTATGAAAAAGATTTCCCCCTCAAAGAAAAGCTGGTTCCTGAATACTCTAGACTTGAAAATCTATCTTTTCATGAGATAGTCTACCAGTACTTCAAATGCAAAATAATCCAAAACAGAACTGAGAATCTGCTGGGAGAAGGCCACGCTCCCAGCAAAAAATAGGGTCCCTTAGGTAGGGGTCGTTGCAAGGGATAAGAAAATAATACAAAATGGAAAATAATGGAAATAAAAGAATACACAGAGACGAAGGTATAGTTTTATAGCTTTATAAAGATTATAGGCAAAGCGGGTACTCAGGGGGTCTTGGATCTCTCCGTCAATCACAAAAGGCCAAGAGTGAAGTTTTACATGGGCTTTTTATATGTACAGTGATCAGTTGCCAGGGGTAACAGATTTACATAACAACAGGTAGTTCCTCTTAGGTTAAAAGTTTTCCAAAAGGCTTCTTCAGATCCCTTAACTAATTCTATCTACATGAACAAATGGTTACAAAATCTTTCAAAGACTAACTTCTAAGTTCTAAGGTAAATTTATCACTTAACAGAAGGGTTAAACAGAGATATAGTGGCTCCATATTTTCTTTAGCAAGTTATTATGTATTGAGACAGGTAGTCAGAAGTTTAAGCAGGAAACTGTCCCTTGGGCTAATTGCTTTTAGCCACAGGTGGCCTTCTGGCGGGCATTCTTTGATCAGCTCTCATCCTGTGGCTCTTAGCAGACCTGCTTTGCTTTTCAAAGCAAGTCCAAA